GCTAAGTGGTCCCTGAGGATTGGAAGGGGTGAGTGAATCCTTAAGGGTCAGAGCTGAGTCTTCTGATTAGCATTCATTGTGAGGGGGAGCCCTGCTCTAGGCAAGTCACATGTATGAAAATCCAGGTTATGCTAAAGAAATTTAAGGGTAATGATTCATGACTTACCACAGAGTGCCTTTAAATAGCAAGTTCCTCTTGTTCATGAAAAAAAGAATTTGATTGACTGAGGAGAGGGGGAAAAAAGGTTTCTAGCCCACTTTTGAGAACCATGGCTGTTGCATAGAGTAAAGTGTGCCTGCATGATGCCCAGGGTGGGCTGTACCAAAGAATAGGGATAATCAGGACTCACACCTGCACGGTACGCTTTACGAGCTGGTAGAGACCAGGGGCCCTGTGGTGCAGCAGAGAGACAATTAAACCTGAATGTCTAGTCCTGCCCTGCCCCTTACTGAACTGTGTGACCTTGAGCAAGTCTCTTCACTTCTGGTGATTCTGTTCTGTGATATGAAGGCATTGAACTAGATGATTGCTAAGGCTCCTTTTGCCCCCCAGTTCTATGAGAGAAGGAGAGCAGGGCTCATTTTACTGACAAGGAAATGCCAGTTGGAGTTGGTTAAGGCACTGGCTCAAGGTCACCCTTCTGGTGAGAGCCCTGGTTCCCTTTTCACTGTAACCATCCCCATCCCCCATGGACTTTCTGGGCTGTTTGAATAGACAACACAAAAACCCTTAGCGGTCCGTTGCTGTGCCCGTGAATGCACAATGGGCTAAGTCCTGGGTGGGAGATTGGCCAGCTCTGGACGCAGGCACTCACCCATCCGTCCTTCTTCCTTCCCTCTGTTTCAGATGAGGCTCGCTCCAACAAGTGCGGGATCCTGGTGCACTGTCTGGCGGGCATCAGCCGCTCCGTCACCGTCACCGTGGCTTACCTGATGCAGAAACTGAACCTGTCTCTGAATGATGCCTATGACTTTGTAAAGAGGAAAAAGTCCAACATCTCTCCAAATTTCAATTTCATGGGGCAGCTGCTGGACTTTGAGAGGACCCTGGGCCTCAGCAGTCCCTGTGACAATCGCGTCCCTAGCGAGCAGCTGTACTTTACAACACCCACCAATCACAACCTTTTCCAGCTCAACACTCTTGAGTCTACATGAGGCCGGGGCCCCCGTGGGTGGGGGGCGAGCATTTGGATTCTTGCAAAGGAACTGGAGCTTCAAGCATTTCACAAAACAAAACACACCACGTAATGTGGGCCGCTGGTGAAAATCGCCTGTGGGCCCCTTCCTCTACGGGCCACAACCCTAAGAGGACTTGCTTCCCCTAAGCCACGGAAGATCTGTTTGCTGCTTTTCAAGATGGAAGAGAAAATATTCTGAGTCGGGAGCTGCTTTGAGCATCCTGATTTGTGGTGGTGATTTCGGAGGGCAGTCGCCCCAGGTGCCTTCTGCCCCCTCTTCCGTCGTTGGCAGCCTCTGCAGTGGGGAAGCCTGGACACGTACCTGTATCAGCCGGCAAACTGGGAGGTGCCAGCACCCTTGGGAACCTTCCCGAAGAGCCCCGAGATCATGGTGGCATTTGTTTCTTTATCTTTTTTTTTTTTTTTTAAGATACAAGCTTGAATTTACTCTTGTCATGGGGGAGGGGGGCAGGTAAAGCCAAGCTCTCTGGAGTACAGAGCGTTCAAACTCGTTTTAAAAGAAAAAAAAAGGCATGTAATTTTCTGACCATGTGTACAGACAATGGTGGGCTGTGGAAAAACCAGTGTTTTCTCCTGTTCCTCTTTGAAGAAGAGAGAGAGAGAAAGAAGATTGTTCTCAGTTTTTGTTTAGTGTTTTTTTAAAGGAGAAAATATCCAATGTCTCAATTGACCAAATGCATTTTGCACATTTGTGAAGCCTTGGGGTATTGTCCTGGCATGTTTGGGTCCTTCTTTGAGAGGGTGCTCAGCTGCTGGCTTTTAAGAGGAAGGGATGAGGGTCAGAAAGGCCGATGCCCATTTGTAAATCTCTTCCCTTCTTCTTCCTTTGACTTCTCCTTCCCCACCACCCCCAACTCTGCACTGAATTGATGGAGATGACGCTTAAGCTGCAATTGCTTCTGGGTTATCTTCGGGTTTGGGGGTTTGTAAATCTGCCTCCTTTCCTTGCTCATTCTTCAAAGACATCCTACCTGGAAGGGCCAAGGACAGAGTTATGGTGTTGGGCAGTGGATCCAGGGAGGGTGCTAGCCCTCTGGTCTGACCTAGTATCCTGTGCTGGGAACACTGCCATTGAGGACCTGACATTAACTCACTACCTTTTGGTTTAGCCTGAGTGGGGGGCTGGGGCATCTAAATCGGGGCATAGGCTTGGGAATCGGGGTGGGGTGAGGGGTCTGTTCTGACCCCTCTTTACTTCTGGAGTTTCTCTCTTCTTACACCTCTGTCAATTTCCTCAAACCGGCAACATCCGGAACTCAGGCCCACTCCCAGTATCCGGCTGGAGTAACCCCTGTCCTGCCGTGCCTTCTGCAAAGAGAAGACTTGTTTCTGTTTCTGCCTGGTGTCAAGAAAATGGAGAGGGGCCAGGGGAGGCAGCTAGAGGAGTGGGAGGAAAGGACAGTGATATCCATGGGGGGGGGGAGGGGGGGGATCAGGGGAGAGGGGTCCTCCTTTTCGTAATGATGTTTTGGGGGTTGAGGAGGGTACAAGGTGGGAGTGGGAGGAAGAGTGTGGGAGCCTCAGAGCAAATGGAGAATGTGTTCACTGCATCTGACCTCATCGAGGGTTTTATTTTCAGGGAATTTTGGGGCCATGAATTATTAAAAACGTGTCATGGCTGAGAGAGCTGACCAAACAGCTTCCTGGGCTGTGGATGGTTCCTTTTTTTATTTTCATTTTTAATTCTTTTATTTTTAAAAAACAAAAACAAAACGAACTGCATTCAACAACCCAGAAAGATGCATCTGATGTGCAAATAAGGGTTTGTTAGAGAGGGCCGGTTTTGCTTTGTGACTTAATGAAGGAAAATTTGTGACCCTATATGTGTGTACATATATATACATATATATATATGACATATATATATCCTGAACCAATAATGGGACTTTGTTTATATTGCAAATAAATATTATTTTTTCTTTAATAAAACGAAGAGTGTTTCTGTGTCCGGTAACTCTCTTTAACCCACAGAAGCCAGGGCAGTTGTGTGTAGGCAGGATCACAGATCTAGGATTTGGAAGGGACTTGAGAGGGCATCACTTTACAGGTGAGGAAATAGAGGCTCAGAAGTTAAGTGACTTTCCCAGAGGCACCGAGGTAGTGAGTGGTAAAGCAGGGGTTCGGAAGAGCGGTGTGAAAGGACCTATCGTGTCCTGTGCATGCTGACCTAAAAATGACTGGATCTGGCTTTCCACAGACCCTGGTCCATCTATCAAGCTTTATTACCTGCATGCTGGGCTAGGTGCTGGGAAAAATGAAACAGTCTCTGCCTTCAAGAAGCTTACATTCTAATCCAGAGGAATGTTGTGCGCACACATAGAAGTAAATACAATGTAATTTGGGGCTGCTGGAGAAGGTACCTGCAACCAGAAAATCAGGAAAGGCCTCTATAGGAGGTGAGCTCTGAAGGATGCTAAGGATATTAGGAAGGAAGGGCTTTTCAGGTTTGGGAGCCAACCTATTGGAAGACTCAGAAGAGATGGGATTTTGTGTGGGAGGATGAGCCAGGGTGTTTCGGGCAGGAGCATAGGAGTGCATGGTGGGTAATGCTATGTCCTCAGATTTTGAAGGGAAGCTGCATAATGTGGAGAGCTTTCCTGGCCAGATTAATGAACATGAATATAGTGAGCAAAAGGGAACCACTGAAGATTTCTGAGCAGATGAGTTACATGCATAGAGCTAAGAATAAGAAGGCTTATTTTAGTACCTAAGGGATGGGACAGTGGCAATCATCCAGTCTGGTGGCAGAGAGAGACTGTATTGGGAGGACGTGGAGATAGGGGCTGGACAGACCAGTACAGTGTAGGGTTCCGTGTAGTGAAAGTGTGGATCATAGGATCATACATCTATTTTTTTCAGGTGAGCAAACAGCCCCAGAGAGCTTAAGTAATTTAACCCAAGCCACACAGTTATTAAATGACAGAACCAGGATTTGAAGTCAAGTACTTTGTCTTTACTCGTCTACTCAATACACCATGAAGTTTGAGGACAGGGCTGCTGAAAGACTAGGAGGAACAGAAGAGCATTGTGGGGAGAAATCAAAGAATGGTTTGAGGAAAAGAAGGCTGAGCAAGGCCTTGATATATGTATTTGTTGTTTTATTTCGTTTTAGGCGGTTGGGGTTAAGTGACTTGCCCAGGGTCACACAGCTAGCAAGTGTCAAGTGTTTGGTCTGAGGTCAGATTTGAACTCAGGTCTTCCTGATTTCAGGGCCGGTGCTCTATCCACTGTGCCACCCAGCTGCCCCTTGATATATGTATTTGAAGGACCATTGGGAGGGTTTAGCAACTATTCTTTGTTAGGAGTGGTTGGGGAAGGATTGGAAGGGGAGAAGGCCTACCTTTTGTATAGCCATTAGAAAGCAAGCATGAGGAGGCCCTGGGAGAAGTAGTGGAAAGGGTGCAAGGCTTATATAGCCAAGAACAAATATGAAATCGATCAATTAATCCACACGTATTCATTAAGCACCTGTGCTCAGCACCGGGATACAAAGACAAAAGTGAGGCAGTCTTGGCCCTAGCTGGCTTACATACTATTACGACATTCAAAGTAAATGGAGAATAAAATGCATAGGGAGTTTGGGGAAGTGAGGAGGGAGAGCATTCCAGGCACGGGGGAATGCCAATGAGCAGGCAAGGACACGGCCTGGATGTTGCAAGTGGGCATCTCCTCCCAGCGCTGTTGGTGACTTTTTCTGGAGTTCAGAACTGTGCCCACTCTACTGCCGGCTCATCCTGAGACTTCCCTCTGCACCATGGAGCAGCCCATCACTCTTCAAGCCCTATCACCACAAACTATTCCTCTGCGAGGCCCACCCCTCTTCTTCCATTGGTAAGAGCCCCCGTTCTGTGGAGGGGCCCAGGCGGGCCTGCCTTCAATCTTCTCTTGGCCCTGTGCCTTACCTTCTCTGTACTTCAAAACCTCACCTCTGCCTCCCTGGTGCTTTCTGTAGTTGTCTTAATCCGTTAGAATGTAAGCCCCTTGAGGGCAGGAAATGACTTTCTTTTTGTTTGTATTTGTATTCCCAGAGCTCACCACTGTCACTGGCACATAGTAAACCCTTAAAAAGTGTTGTTTCCTTCCTTCCAATTTGGCTAACGTGGAGTACTTAAAGGAGAGTAATGTCATCCTCCTGGGGAAATAAATTACAAAGGACTTTGAATGCTAAGTAGAGGACTTTGTATTTTAAGAAACAGGGAGGTACTGCAGCTTCTTGAGGAGGGGAATGGCATGCACCAGTTTGGCAATGGTGAGGAGAAAGGATTACAGATACTGGACGCAGGGAGGCCAGTTAGGAGGCTATCCGCAATACGCTAGTCTAGAGGTAATGTGGGGCCGGGCTATGGTGCTGACCGTGTGAGTGGAGAGAAGAGTTCAGATACAAAGGATGTTGAGTAAATGGAATAGGCAGACTTGGCAGCTATTTTGGGGGAAGAGGGGAAGGAGAGGAAAGAATTAAAGGTGACTCTAAGGCTGTAATCCTCAGGAAATGGAAGATGAGGTTGCCTGTAACAGAATAGAGAAGCTAGGGGGAAGGGTAAGTTTAGGAGGAAAGAGGATTTCCCTTGTAGGCATGTTGAGTCTGAGAGGCCTTTGGGATAGCCAGATAGAAATGCCCAAATGAGGGATACAGGCAGGAAATGTTGTAGGGGGTCAGGAAAGGGGGAATCAGTGTGGGTTGAAGGTGGTCAGGGCAGGCTTCCTGGCAAAGATGTGATCACCCAACGCCCTCAGTGGCATCTAAAGTGATGGCACACTTTTCTGGAAATGATTCGTAAGGCCCCAGAGAGACACCTCCCATTTCCACAAAGCACTTCCTCTACTACCCAAGGTAGGTCATAGGGTATTATCCACATTGTATGAAAGAGGAAATTGAGGCTCAGGATTTTCCCAGTCATGCTTCTAGTAAGGCCAAGCCTAGAATACAGGGTTCCTGACTTTCTAGGTTGTGTGGTACAGTATCCTGAAGGAGAAGGGCTAACCCCAGCCACCTTCAATGGTGAATTAGGAAAGGAAGGCGGTATTGTTCTCTTTTTACAGAAGGAGAAACCAAGGCTCTGAGTCACCTTCTGCAGAGGGTTTCTTTCCCTCTGTGGTCTGAGTGGTTCCATCCCAGTGTATGAATGGGGAAACTTCCCTTTATAAGAGAGAGACTCCTCCCCTTCTTTTGCAAGACAGCTTACAAGCAGGCAGCCTACCCGTCCATGACTCCTAAGTCTGCCCCTGTTCTAGGGCAAGGACCTTGCAGGCAAGAAAGACAGTAATCAAGTGATCAATAAACATTTATTAAGTGCCTACTCTGTGCCAGGCAGAGAAATACAATCAGTTAATGAATGAATCAATAAAAGAATAAATGAAACAATTCCTATCTGCAAGGTGTTTACATTCTAATGGAAAAGACAAGAATACACATATAATTACATACAGAATAAATATAAAATTAACAAATACAAATCAATTTTAAGTTGTTTAGGGAAGGGAATAAGCATTTATACAGTACCTACAGGAACTGTGCTAAGTGCTTTTGCAAATATCTCATTTGATCCTCAAAACAATCCTTCGAGGAGGATGCTATTATCATGCCCATTTTACAGTTGAGGAAACTGAGGCAAACAGAGGTGAAATGACTTGCCCAGGGCCGCACAGCTAAGCTAATGTGCCCAAAGTCACATTTGAACTCAGATCTTCTCTGTTCCGGGCCTCATCTTTCTATCCACGGTGACACCAGCTGCTTTTAGTTAGGTACAAAGCAGTCTGAGAGGGGTACCCCTAGCTGTTGAGAGGATGAGGAAAGTCTTTTTGTAGAAGGAAGTGCTTGTACTGCGTCTTGAAGAAAGGCAGAGGTGAAAAGAGAGTGCATTCCAGGCATGGTAGATGGCCATTGCAAAGGCATGATGATGGAGTGTCCTTTGTGAGAGCTTGACTGAAGCATATGGGAAGAGACAGTAGTGTCCTCAAAGACCTGAAGGGTAGATTTAGGTCAAGTTTTGAAGAGTTTATGTTTTTTATTCTGGACACAAAAGAAAACCACTGGAGTTGACTCCAGTCAGGGGAATGACACAGTCAGATATGCAATGACAGACAATCACTTTGGCAGCTGTGTGGGAGTGGGGTTGTAGAAGGGAGCAATTAGAGGCAGGGAGACCGATTTGGAGGCTGTTTCAGTAATCTAGGCCAGAGGTGATGCTTGCATAGAAACAACAAGATATTGGGGGTGAGGGAGAGTAAGAAGTTAGGGGTCATGTGAAGAATATAGAAAGAGAAAAGTTTTGGAGAAGGGTGGGTTTGGGTGTAAGAAGCCTTGGCCAGGGTTTTCCCCTTGGCATTGGGGGGCTTTCAGTCACTTCTAGCATTTCATTTCAGGAATGGACCTGAAAGGCCATCTCATCCAGCTTGACTGAGTATCGTT